CTAATCGCACAATCCCTGGCATGTTTAGCGCCACGCGCCCGCCGAGTGGCTAGGCTTCAAGTAGCATTGAAGCTTGCTGCTCGACATGGGCAGCCCTACTATGCATCGCCTCTTTTTCTATCCTATGAATTGCCTTTGCTGTACCTGCAGGGGCCAGCATGCTATTTAGTCTCTTCGCGACGTTTTTGACCAGTACTGGCCGTTCAATATGAATGTTTGCATATTAATGTAAGCAATCGAGATCTACTGGAAAGTAAATTCCATCGTTAATATAACCTATAATATCTCTGTATACAAAGTTTACTTTTTTATTGGTTCGATTATAACTAGATTGGTGAGAAGTGACTGTGTTTTTAGTGAAGAATACCACATGTTAAATTTGAACCTTGTAGACAGTATCGAATTGCAATCCTTTGCAGTTTTGCACGTTTACAGTATGTCCGTTTTTGGTTTAACAAGAGTTTTTCGTTACTGCCGGAAAATGGTCATTTATAGAATCAACTCACGGATATAAGAAGGCGACATTCGACAAGTTGGCACTGTATTATGTGTGCAATTACACCGAGTGCGACTGCTATGTATCCTGGTTGCCGCGTGATAACCATGGCAAATTCGTACGCCAATAATAGCTAGTTTAGTATGGCGCGACGTTCAAGTTCGCATCTGTGTTTCATTATGTTCTCATATACCAGAGAAAACTGAAGTTTTACATACCATGGAAAGTAAGTTATTTTGGTGTTAACCCATTAACGACCAGAGGTCAGTTATTGGACATATTTTTGATCGCAAAATTCATTTGTAAAACGAAACAATAAATTCATCCAGGGTACCATATCTTATGTTTTTAGGTGTGCTGAATCTAAATCCGGGCTCAAAATTCAAAAATTTTGCTTACATAATTAAATATGGCCGGTTTTTTATAAAAAAAAATAGGGAAATTTTGAAAAAAAAAAATTTTTTGGAATTTTTTTTCTACCATAACACATGTCAATATCGAAATCTTTCTTCAACAATGAGTGCAAAAAATTGTTGAACTTTAACAGAAAATTTTTATATTCAAAGTTTTTTTCCAAAATGGCGGGAAAAATGCCAAAATCTGGAAAAAAAATGCGTTTTAGGTTACTATTTTTTTCTGAAAAACTACGAGGTTAAGGAAAAAGTTTTATATAACAAAAATGTCTTATAATTTGTCAAGGAACACTCTAAAATTTTTTGAAATTTTTTTTTAATTTTTCAAAAAATTACAGAATTGAAAATTTCAAAAAAATTTCAAAAAATTCTGGAAAAATTAGAGAGTATTCTTTGACTAATTCTAAGACATTTTTGATCTTATAAATTTTTCCTGAAAGCTTATAGTTTTCGAGAAAAAAATTCTCAAACAATTGTGGAAATTCTATTCAACCGTTTCAACTTTTGGAATTTCATAAGATAAGTTGGGGTATAAACGTACCGAAGTTTAATTTATCAAGAGGTTCTAAATAAAGTATTGCGTAAGTACGTCTAAAGTGTGACTACTTTCAGTTTATATTTATATTTTACTCTTAGCGTAACCCAGAGACAACAGCGTGGACGTAGTAAAATCATATCTCCTTCGAGGTGCTTGTTTATAGTGAGTCCCCTTACCTCTTACTCTATGGGGTGTTGGTTTATAGTGAGTTCCCTTACCTCTCACTCCTCGGGATGCTTTTTTATAGTGAGTTCCCTCGCCTCTCACTCTACGAGGTGCTTTTTTATAGTGAGTTCCCTGCCTTCTTCCTGTAATCAGACATGCTTTGCTTTCATGCATGCACTGCAAAAAAACAAATTGCACTTTTCACAGTAAACATATATTCTTATTGGACAAATGAAACACTTGTTCTGTTTCTTTTTTCGAATTGTTGTATGCTTTTCCTTATTTTTTTCAGCATCATGAATGTAACTTTTCGCTATTGACATTGCAAATTCTTTACTTCCAACTTTTTTTTTACTATCATCAGTAGCATTGAATATTACAACTGCATTTGTAATTGCTGCTTGGATAAGTCTAATGAAAACCACCCACGTCCACTTCTTTAAACGAATACTTGGCAACAAATTGTTACAGTGACCGTCGTGTACATCAACTCCACCCATGGACTGATTATAAAGGTGAAAAGCTTGCGGAACTGGTATATCGACTTTTTCTTTTTCGATCGAACTGTATCTCTTTGCTGATGATAATGGAGTGACCCCTGCAGCTGTAGATTGTATTAATACTGGCTTTGAATCCATAACCGTGATGTAATTTATTCCAGAGTTTTTTTCATGCTTTACTGCATATGTTCCACGTGGAGCCTTTTTATGAATGACATTTTTTACTGGGACACGATTGTCTCTAACAGTTCCAGTACATTTCAATTTTAATCGGTTTAAATGTACAACAAGATCTAAATTTGTAAAGTAATTGTCAAAATAAAGATGATAAAGAGAAATTTTTGCATCAGAAGTCAATTCAAAAAAAGGCTTCAATAAATGTAAAACCACGCGAGATCCTCAAGCGCATTTAGATAACTTATCTCCTATTACAGAGTTCTTTCCACAGTATAGATCTATATTAAATAAGTACCCATTAGCAGTGCACAAACCCCAAAATTTAAGACCGAATCGTGTAGGTTTTCCTCGTATAAACTGTTTCAAACACGTTTTAGCATACGATTTAGCCATCATTTCATCCACTGATAAAGCTGATTTCCAAAAGCCAAACTTCAGAATATTCTTTTGAAACAGTTTCAATAAAGCACGAACTCGCCAAGCCTTATCTTGTGGATCTTTATCTTTGGTCTTTGAGTATTTCAATTTAGACTTTATCATTTCAAAATGAGATCGTGACATTGCTGAAAAAAATTTTTTCACAAGATAAAAAAGGGTCAGTTGACCAATAATCTCTTTGAGATTTTCGTTTATTGAATGAACTTGTTATATTGATTCCAATGAATGTATTTAAATCGACTAATGATAAGTCAAAATGATTTTCCTTACATGCATCGATAATATAATTTTTCATTTCAATAGAAAAAAAATGTTCAAACAGTTCTCTTGGATCACATTTTCTAATTTTTTCTTTTGTAGATCTAGGAAATAATATTTTATCTCCAATTATATCAGAATATATCTTCTCATTATCTACCCAATCAAATTTATGATCTTTTTCAAGCTTAGCTAGATCAGCTTGATAACTTTTTGAAACTCTCTTGTAAGTAGCTTTCGGTATTTTTTCATCACGGTAATTATCTGAATCACTATCTGAATAATTTTCGGAATCTGACGAACCAGAATATTCTGCATTTGGTAACATGCAATTTTCATCATCGTCTGTGGTGCATGATTCAGATTCACTTCCAGATTCAGAAGAAACAGCACTTCTCGATCTTTTTCGAGGCATTGCTAGTATAAACACGAAAGTGTTGAGAAAATCTCCTAATTTCAAAGGATGAATTTGAATAACTTTTGTGTTGAGAAACTACGTTATGTTTATCGACTTCAATCGATCTGCCTAAATAGGTTTTGGTAAAACTTTTCTAAGAGAAGAGATGGGCTACGCTGAGAGTAAAATCTAAATATAAATGTTATGAGCACTCAGGTAATACTCAAGTAATACGATTTTTTCCTCCAACCTCATAGAGAATGGAAATCCCGTACATTTGCACCCCAACTTATCTTATGAAATTCCAAAAATTGAAACGGTTGAATAGAATTTCCACAATTGTTTGAGAATTTTTTTCTCAAAAACTATAGGCTTTTGGAAAAAATTTATAAGATCAAATATGTCTTAAAATTAGTCAAAGAATACTCTTTAATTTTTACAGAATTTTTCGAAATTTTTGTGAAATTTTCAATTCTGTAATTTTTTGAAAAATTAAAAAAAATTTGCAACAAATTTCAACAAATTTCAGAGTTTTTCTTGACAAATTATAAGTCATTTTTCTAATATAAAGTTTTTTCCCGAACCTCATAGTTTTTGAGAAAAAAAATAGTAACCTAAAACGTATTTTTTTCCAGATTTTGGCATTTTTTCCGCCATTTTGGAAAAAAAACTTTGAATATAAAAATTTTCTGTTAAAGTTCAACAATTTTGTGCACTCATTGTTGAAGAAAGATTTCGATATTGACATGTGTTATGGTAGAAAAAAAATTCCAAAAAATTTTTTTTTTCAAAATTTCCCTATTTTTTTATAAAAAACCGGCCATATTTAATTATGTAAACAAAATTTTTGAATTTTGAGCCCGGATTTAGATTCAGAACACCCAAAAACATAAGGTATGGTACCCTGGATCAATTTATTGTTTCGTTTTACAAATTAATTTTGCGATCAAAAATATGTCCAAAAACTGACCTCTTTGGTCGTTAATAGGCTAATATACGCGGCATATTGAGCGTTATTATGCATGTTTGTCAATTCTGCAAAAGGTAGTCTCAACTTATAGACACGTTTATGCTTTTCCGCGGCTGTACAAAGCAATAATCCTGCGCAGTTAGGCATTCTCATTTGAGAAACCTTGAAATTGGCTTTCTCATACAAGCGATGAGATACCTCAGTGTTTGATATCTGCTCTAGCTTGGGACGTAACAGGTAAATCTTTCAATTTTTCTAAATAAAAAATAAAATAATGGAGTATAGTATTTTTCGAGTAAACTTTTGCATACATATAAACATTTAAACCACTTCACAATTATAACTAGAACTAAAGACTAGGTAAAAGTATTTGAAAAGTCATATAGCATTAGATTTGTTAATTTTTTATGATCTCACTAATATTTTCATAATTTTTCGCTTTTTAAGAATTTTTAATTAGTTAAATAAATTTGGATGTATCTAATTGTAAGCTGATTGAAATAGTAAAGAAAAATATTCGTTTATAGAAACTTGAGAAAATACTGTGGACGAGTCATGATATTGGATTTAGTCATATACGTTGATTTGCGAGATCTCAATGAAAATAAAAAATTTTGTGGATTTGCCCATATATCTGAAATACGTTACCTGAGAACGGCAACTAAGAGCATTGAACATATCAAAAAAGACAAAACATGTAAAAGTCATAGTTGTGTCTCTTGAAGTAATTCCACCCGAAGTCATTTCACGGTTATAGACCCAGAGAGTTCCTAAAATTATCATAACAGCGGACAATAAAACATTAAATATCAGGTGTCTTGTTATCATAGGTTCTGTTACATTCCGGGGCTTTTGTTTCAAAACATCCTTATCTACTGGTTCAACTCCTAAGCTAAAAAAATACAACACTTATGTATTCAATACAATACATATGTATTCAATTTTATTACTAGTATTATAGTGAGAATTTTATAAAATTATATGTTTAAAAAGTACCTCTGTGCTGGAGGTCCGTCCATAATTATGTTAATCCAAAGAATTTGCATGGCATTAAGAGGATTAGGAACGCCCATCAAAGTAGCTAATGCTATTAATGATAATGCTGCGATGCTTGTACTTAATTGAAATCTAACAAAATTTCGTATATTGTAAAATATTCCTTTGCCTTCTTCTATGGCAGATATAATTGTGTGAAAATCATCATCAACCAATATCATATCAGCAGCCTCTTTACAGACATCAGTACCATTCGTGCCCATTGCTATTCCAATATCTGCTTTTTTCAATGCTACTCCATCATTTACACCATCTCCAGTCATAGCCACAATATTTCCTTTCTTTTGTAAAGCCTTCACAATGTCTAATTTATGTTTGGGCGTTACTCGGTAAAAAACATTGACATTATTAATTTTATCCTCCAGTTCTTGATCAGTCAGTGTATCAATTTCACTTCCAGATAAAAGTTTACCGTATGTGCTATCCAAGCCGATTGTAGTAGCTAGAAATTTTATTTATATGAAAAAATGATATGAAAAAATAAATGGAACTGTTTAACATTTCAAAAAAAGATGAAGTTTGATCAGTTTAATAGATGACTATGTATAAAAATATAACAAATTGTTTATATAATGAAGACTGACTTCAACAAATAAAAAGCACAACAAAGATTTGGAGACAAAAACTTATTTTTTGAAGGCAACATCAAAGTCAATATATTATTGTTATATTGTTATAATTTACAATTATTATTTAATCGTCGATTTTATCAGAAAACTTATTCCACATTAGAAGATTCAAATATCAATACATCTTATATTGAAATTTGATACCTCGCATAGACTTGTTTCATTTATAGTTATTCTCTTTGTACTTAATTTTTGAAGGCAATCAATTGAGATCAGTTAAACATAAGTTAACGTTATGTATTTGTATATTACTAAATTTGTTGTTAATTGATCATTCAGATATCCTACCTAATAGTTATTAATATTTTCTCGGTTGTAGATACTTAACTTTATCTTCTATTGGTATTAGTCGGTTTATGCGTATTAGAGGACAAGTTTCTTTTTTTACGTATAAGTTATCTTATTGATTTAGTTAAAAATTGGACATTATCATTTTTCATTTAAACCAGGTTAGTACTTATCTAAATATTTCTGCATATTATTATAGGTCGTTTTTGTATTTGAGTGGGATGATTACATAACTCTATCATCTAGGTAAGTGTTGATATTAATATTTTTGTGGTTGAAAGATTGTGGATAATAATTAAATATAATATAGAACCAAGAACACTTTCTAGAGGAATACTAACTTTTATTGGATGTACGTACGAGGTCTGTCCGGAAAGTATCGGGCCTACGTTTATATCTTCACGCCATAGTGTTCGAGTGACCTCTACCGAACAGAAACGTCAACAGTAAAGCCTTACGAATCTATTGGTTACTTACTGACACCTGCCGGACGTATATTTCATGCGCAGCGTGTCTTTGTTTACAGTGCCTTTTTCGCGTTCGTCGGATTTTGATATTGTCAAAAATGACTGAAAAACAAGATCAACGAATTTGCATCAAATTTTGCTTTCAACTCGGAAAAACGAGTTCGGAAACTATTGAAATGATGCAAAAGACCTTCGGAAGCGAGTGTATGAGCAAAATACGAATAAAAGAGTGGTATAAACGGTTCAAGGATGGTCGCACTTCTGTCGATAGTGATTCTCGTTTCGGCCGACCTTCGACGACAAAAACTGCAGATAATATTGAGCGGGTACGACTTGCAATCGAACAAGATCGTCGTATGACTGCGAGAACTAGAAGAAGACCTTGGGATACCAAAAACTATCATTTCAGAAATTTTAACCGAAAATTTAGGAATGAAACGCGTGTGTGCGAAATTCATCCCAAAATTACTCACAGCAGAGCAGAAGAATATTCGCTAAGAAATCGCTCTGGACAATCTGGAAATGGTCAATAATGATGATAATGTACTTAGAAAAGCTATTACAGGTGATGAATCATGGGTTTATGGTTATGATCCTGAAACAAAACAACAATCTTCACAGTGGAAGCATTCTGAATCGCCAAGACCAAAAAAAGCATGTCAAAGTCGGAGCAATGTTAAGTCAATGTTGATTATTTTTTTCGATTGTCAAGGTGTTGTACATCACGAATATGCACCATCAGGTCAGACAATCAATAAAGAATACTACGTTCAAATTTTAAAACGTTTGCCTGACGCAGTAAGAAGAAAACGGCCGAACTTTTGGGAAAGTGGTGACTGGCTTCTCCATCACGATAATACGCCAGCGCATTCATTCAATCTTGTGCAGCAGTTTTTGAGCAAACACAATATCGCATTGCTTCGACAACCTCCATACAGTCCTGACATAGCCCCTTGTGACTTTTGGCTGTTTTCGAAACTAAAAAAACCACTCAAAGGACACCGATTCGATGACAAAACAACGGTTGAAAACAATGCGACAAGTGTACTAAAGGCTATCCCTAAAAGCGGGTTCTAGGACTGTTTTGAAAAGTGGAAACATCGATGGAACGGTGTTATTCAATCAAGTGGGGATTACTTTGAAGGATGCCACCCACCAGATGATAAAGAATAACGCTAGCACGAAAATATAAAGGTAGGCCCGATATTTTCCGGACAGACCTTGTAGATTAGTAGTTTTGATCTTTATTTTTTACCATAAAAGTTTCGAAGCTTAGAATGATTCTAATTGTAGATAGAAATATTTTGATAGTATTTTTTATAAGTTTGAAATTTAATAAATTTTTTATAATGTTGGTACCAATCTGTATCGAAAGCTTGAGCTACATAGAAAAATATAACATTACACTATTCTTATTTTTGGTCGAAAATATTTCTGATTTTATGAGAGACTGTTATTTGTTCTATTGTAGCTTAATTGATTCACAAAGTGACGATATTGAGTCAGTGAATTATTATTTTTTAGATTTTTGAGAGAGTGAGCAGTAGGCTGATGAGTCTATGTGATGAAACAAGCTCGGATAGTTCTTCTGGTTTAGAAAAAAGTATTATTGTTATAACTTTCCATACAGTAGGAAAATAGTTTAATTTAATCAAAGTATTGCATTTAATATTATGATAATTATTGTGTAACAACTTTAATATTTTTCATTTATGTGATATTTTTAGAGTCTTATTATTTATGTTCCATATTCTGATGCGTTTCTATAATCTCAATCATAAAATTTCGTAATTTGTAAGTGTAGACTTCGTAATGACGTACCAGTCACGAAAGGTCAAATAATGAAATCAAAGAGGGAGAGAGAGAGAGAGAGAGAGAGAGAGAAAGAAAGCGCGCGAAGAGATCAAAAAGAATGATTAAAAGCATATAAAAGAAAGCATGAAGTAGGAATTCAAGATGCAGTGGATGGAGAGCCGAATTGAAAAAGACAGTCAATTGACTATGTGCGCTACTAAAGAATACTTGAGCAATTCTTCTATTTAATTTATAGTATAGGTTAAAGATATCTTTACATAAATACCAATAAAATTACTTATACAAATGAATTGGAGGTAAATGACAATTTGATTTAACGACTTCGTGGATGAAAGTGTGTGTGTGTATCATTTTTTCTGCACAGTATATTTGTACACTACATTTATAACTTGAAGTATGCTATAAGATAGAAAAATAAAACTTTTATGTTCACTTTCTGATCCTTTCCTATAATAACATAATGGGCTACATATTATAGTACATTGAGAGTTATTAAAGTAAACTATTTGTGATGTATTTTGTACAATATATTTATAATTCTTAAAAAATCGAATCCTACCAGCATTTTATATAATTTTAAGTTTATTTGCAGTGAACGAATGAGGTTTCAATATAAGCAGATGTTCACATAATGACTCAATAATTTCAAGAGTTGACTTGTCAGTATTGGTCCATGCAGTAAATTCTACCTCATTTATCAATCCTTGTAAAAATTCTTTTAAAGACTCTTCCAGTTTAGTGATATCGAAGCAAATTTATATTTGCGAATGTAATAATTTAAAATAGTATTTGTGTATATAATAACATCAAATAGTTAGCATAAAATAATTTCGTAATCGTATAAAAGTGAATTAGTTCCCTTTGAGGGAAAGGGATAAAGTTCCTTAGATCGGATAAATCTGTCTAAGTTGATTATATCCCTCCTTATCTCAAAATTATTAGCACACTTTCTCCAATATTTATATATATTGTAAATTTGTTTGGAAAGAGAATAAATCTTCTAGTGGATAAAATTGGTATGGATTAACAGGTGCTGTCTTTTTTGTATAATACTGCGTGAGCTGACATAAATCGCAACGATTTATTGTTACAGCTACTTTTTTGTAAATATAAAAATTTTCCTGTCACATCTTTGTAATTTTTCTTTTTCCAATATGATCATAAACTTCATGTATTTCTTGGATCAATTCTGGGATTATTATTTCCGGTAATAATAATTTGTTGTTAACTTTATCTTTTTTATTAACTTTATGTATTAAATTGTTTTAACTATATATCTATGGTCAAAATTTTCTTTATTTCTTGGATTTTATATATAGTCATCTTTTTGTTGTAATAAATTCAAATTCTTGAAATGTTTAATCAAATCTCGAGATGGATTTTTCATCAACATAGCTATCTGAATTTCATCCGTGTAGTCGTTACTGCAGTCCGTTATATGTCTTGATAGAAAATCAGCGGCTTTATTACTTGGTAAATACTCGTACGTAATGTTGTAGTCTTGAAGAAACAAGCACCACCTCACTAATCTCGCATTCGTAAATTCACAAGTAGTTAAGAATTTCAACGCTTCATGATCTTTACGTATAATTATTTCTTTCGCACCTATAGGATACGTTTATAATTTTAAATATGACCAAGCTAGAGCTAAAAGTTCTTTTTCAGTTGTAAAAGAATTTAATTCTGCTCCTTTTAAGGTTCTAGATATAAATGTTATAACTTTCTCATCGCCTTCACTATTTAATTGTGACAAAGCAACGGCTATAGTATGATAACTAGCATCAGTTGTTAATATGTAAGGCTTATTGGGATCAGGAAATTTTAAAGTAGTAGTATCAATAAATATTTTTTTCACATTATTAAAAGCTGTTTCATGCCCAGGTAACCATTGATGTTTTGTTTGTTTGCTTTGTTGCAATAAAATCATTAAAGATCTACATATTTCAGCATAATTTTTTGCAAATTTTGTATAAAAATTAACAAATCCAAGAAAGCTTTGCAAGCTTTTCAAATTTTTTGGAGCTTTATAATTATGAATTATTTCTAATTTACTTTTTTGAGCTTTTATACCGTATGGAGTAATAATACGAGAAGTGTTAAAAAAATAACGAGAATTTTCGTTTTATGAAAAAAATATTTATTTATTCATCTACATTAATGTTGTCGCCTTCAAAGTAGTCCCCTTCGGATACAATACACTTATGCCAACGCTTTTTCCAATCCTCGAAACACTTTTGAAACTC